ATATAATCTCACTTGATGACAACTCTTAAAAGTTGCATTAGGTCAAGAAAATTTGGGACTTAAAAATGGGTTACTAAGCAGAAAAGCTAGAACAAGCCTGAACTGCTGTGTACAGTAGTTCAAGTGCTCTATTAGCCTTTCATTGAGCTCGTTCCAGTCTGGATTTTTATGTTGCCTTTGCCACATCACAGCAGCTCATTAACTCGCTTGGATATTTTGTGATCCTTTAAAAAAACATCTGTTGCTTTTATTCACAGCATTCTGCTGCAGCTGGTTAAGGTGTTCTACAGCTGATTACGCTGAGAAAAAAAAAATCTGCTTTAATGCCATGGCAGAGATGGTTGTACAGCTTTTGGCTAATGATGAGAAAACCAGCCATGTTAATGAGACAAACATACCTCGTTACATCCATAACAACTGAGTGACAAGCTTGCAGACTTATGATTCAAAGCGATGATGTGCCCCAAGAAGTATTTGAGTGCTTCCATAGTGATCGAGAAATTGAGCTACAGGTACCATGAGATTAATCTGAAATTAACTTGTATGTTCACTAACTGGGCAAAGATGAGCACAGTGTTAAAATGTTTATTAAAAACTGTTTTTTAGGGTGGATTTTTCCTTTAGTTACATAAAAATCTACAGACACACTTATTCATCTATCCAATGGCTGTTGAGATGCTTCAGTCTGAATCGAAGTGGTCAACCCACCGACAGAACATTCATCCCTGGAGCGGTGTCACTACTACAGCTCCAATGGTAAGGTCAGTGTCCTAAACCAAAGTGCATTGCACTGTAAATCGGGGTATGAACCCAATCTTTTGCTGTTTTTTTTTGCAGAGGCAGCTGTTCCAACAGCTGAACTTCAGCATCTGCCAAGAAACTACACGCTCGTAGTCTCCTACAGTGAAGTTTAATTAGCCAAACAAACACACCTGTGTGAGCGGGGAAGTGTTGTGAAAGCTGAACTGACTAACTTAAATGATCAAAAAAGAGTGATGACAATAAGAAAGCTGGCAAGAAATCACTTTATTCTCCAAGAAGCCGTTTCCAGCCGCCTGGCCTTCATCAGTATCACAGTCGCACTCAGTACCACTGTTTAATCCATGACTACTGAACCGGGTGCAGGCTAATTAACTCAAGAGGTTTCACCTGTGTGCAATGTTTAAAGCAGCATTGTTTCTTTCTGGGCCGCTGGCTATGCCCTAATGGATGCATACCAAAGACATGCATGCACGCACGCATTCACATCCACGGATCAGCAATTTACTGTAGATGCTTGTCAGTGGCAAAGTGCCATTAGCTGCCATATCTCATTAGCTGCACAAACACACCAAAGCAGGAGACACATTTACATTCAAGCAGTTGTAAACATTCTGTACAACAACACAGATACAGTACACAGCGTGGTAAACAGACAACACACAGCTTGTAGTTGATAAGAAGATGAGAAGGATGAGATGAGACATGAGAAGAAAACTTGAACTCAGAGAGATGAAGACCAGGAGAGATGGGGGGGTAAATAGGAAGCTACATGTGTCTGTTCACCTGCCCCTCTGTCTGGATTCAGTGGATCGACAAAATATACTTGTAGCACTACCTGAACACATTCCTAGGTGAGTTTGGCTGCTACATCATGAACAGCTGCATTGTTGTGGCAGCTGAAAATCAAACCAATGCATCATACATGAGAAATGCAGTAAATGCTGTCAACAAGGATCACTTTAATGTGCAATCATTCAGGGGGTGTGCATGCAAGATGTGGCTGGCTGAATAAATAAACTGACAGCTTAAAGATAAATGAATTAACCAGTGAAACTATGCTTCTGTTATCTCTTAGGACAAAGAGATATTGTGGGAGATACTGATAGAGTGGAAGCGAAGGAACAATGAGAGAGGGAGTCTGAAGGAGTGAAATAGGCAAGTAAAATGCTGTTAATTGCTTTGTCATTGAGTGAGAGGGAGGAAAGAGGAGGAGGAGATACAATATGAAAGAACCCAGGGTGATAGGAAAAGGTTTGAGAGCAGAGAGGGAGACAGAGGAGGCAGAGGACACTGCACAGCACTGATTACTGCTTTGTAACAGAGTTGGGAGGAGGAGGAGGGAGTGAAAAAAGCCATAAACAGACTAAGGTCAGGAAACTATGGAGGGATCCAAGGCACTGGTCTGCTTGATTATAAAAGTGGCGAGATAGGCAAATGGAGAGAGAAAGAGGGAGAGGCGGAGATGAAAAGAAGAGATGAGCACAAGGTGACGGGTATAAAAGAATTGGAAATTGAGAAGGAGTTTGTCTGCATGTTTATGCATAATGCATGTAACAGGGTCACATTGAGATAGAATACAAGTATGCACACGTGTGTGTGATTATGTGTGGTAGACACCCTGCATCCCAATCTCAGTCTCAAGTAAAGCAAATTGAAATTCCAGAAATAAACTTGAACTTGACTTGCCTTGAAAACCTCTCACTTGAGTAATGACCTTGTTTCCCTCTCCTCCTCTTCTTTTGTTTTGGTATTATATGCTCACAAATTGATATTCTGTTACTAAACTGGACTGCATCTAAATGATAGTTGTGTTTCTCCCACTTCGATGCTGTAATATGTAATGCCTCCCACATTGCCCACAGCAATATTTACCAGATCCTCAAACTGGACGTGAACCTGTTGCATTCAACTGTTGGTTAAATAGCTAGAGAGAGCAGCAAAAAAGCAAAAGGTTTTCTTTTGAAAGTCCAAGTCACACATTACACTCAAAACACAGCATGTCTTAATGGCTCTGCTGTTGTGTTGCTTTATGGACTATTACAGAAATTGCCTCCTCTTCTATGACAGATTTCTCCCTGTATGACTGTTAAGTGTTGCTGCAGAAACAATGAGCCTACAAGTAGGAAAAAAAAAGCCTGTTCACATTGCAGGACACCCAGGGAGACTAACACCAGCAAGAACTGATGTTTATTGTCATCCCCTGCCTTACAATGCCGGTATAGCTGCTCTGGAAATAATGTGACATCAAGTTGTCTGTTTGGCCACTCATCCATGGTTAGATACAGCAAAACACAACAGCACTGAACCAGAGATGCAGGGAGCACTGCTTTATTTACTAGCTGAAAATCAAGTTTTTGCTGACCTCTGGTTTAACTTCTTAACTTGGAGTGATGCAGAAGTGTACTTCATGGTGTGTCACCACAGACTGTATATAAAAGATGGACAACGAGTCACCACTTCCCTCTACTAAGTAAAAGTGAAGCCAAAACATCATAAATATGGCGGCTGCTATCTTGGCATTTTGCAACCAGATTCTGCACAGTACTGACCAGAGGTTGAATGACGAATCAGACAGCCAATCAAAGCTGTCAAATCACCTAAATACACCCCTTATAAATCATCAAATAACTCGTTAAAGACAAACTGATCAGAAAAATGACCACTTGTACACACATCAGTGTGATAATACCTATCAAAAACTACAGAGGTGATCTCTGGGAAATTGTGACTGATTTCTACTTTGACTTTTTAGTTTGTCTCATGTCCCATCCAACATGGAGTAGGTGGGCTTTATGACCTATATTGCAACCAGCCAGGAGGTGGCGATCGACCCACAGTGGCTTCACTTCTGACACCTGTCAGGCTGTAAATACAGTCAATGTGCGTCACACTATGACACCACTGTTGGGTGTAATTACAGGTGTGATAACCACCCCTCTCAACACAACAAGAGAGTCAAGTGAAACCCTACTTTTCAGCCTGGTATTACGTTACTCTTTAAGCAGTTTAAATGTTTTAAGGTGGAACCTTTCTCCAAGATGCACACAGGCATGCACTGTATGATCTATTTATGCAACAGTACAATTAGCAGATAGCAGTACAGGTAACTGTACATGCGAGCTTGTTAGCACAAAGTATGCTCAAGTCTGCAGAGGTTAGACACTTGTAAACAAGAGTGATTGTGTTTGACAGGATCCACAGAAACCACTCCTGACCAGGCAACACGGCTTCTACTGACAATCAAACATACAAAAGCAATGTGAGCATTTGTTTCACTACAGACTAATCCCTCTGCGCCACAGTATATTAGCATCAGGGCTAACACTGTGGCGTATCAGAGTGGTCAAACAGTTATTGGCATGCATTAGTGCGGGTTTTACTGTGAGACACAGGCTTATCCAAAACTGAGCTGATGGGAAATAATGTCTCCCTTAGAAACTATCTGTCCATACATTATGAGAGGATAATGGAGTGCACCGAGCGGTCCATTAAAAACATCTGCATTTAGACACTATACAGTATTAAGAAGCTGCTTATAATGGTATTCTGAACTACAGCAGACGTTACGTGAGCTGTGCAGTGTGAACAGGGTAAACAAAACCTCTTCTGAGTAATGGAAATGAGCAATCAGATACAGCTAATAGAGCTGAGTCGGATTTCCATTTGCTTTGCTGAACACAACTAAGTAAACTCAACATCGCCTTTCCTTTAAGCCAGTTTCATGTTCTTGCAGTCTTTTACAGCAGTTTTACAACTTGCTGCTTTAATATATTTTCCACCCCTTGCTGTGGGAGGCAGAGGTCACTGCATCAGGTCAGAGGAGGGAGGGGCTCCAGCTTCTTCACAGCCCATGAAAATTACACTGAACAGAACACAGTGGATAACAACAAACCCAAAGGGGAATGAATACATTAGAAATCCTTTTCTCCACTTATCTCCTCCTAAAAAGACACAGAAAAGCAGCAGTGGTGCAACGTGTAAAGGAGCTGGCTTGTGACTGAAGGATCTGATACAAGCTGGCAGGACATGGGTTGAGACAGCAAATGAATAACCAGCAATCGTGTCAAGGATGCCCTGGGGAGAAGCCTTTAACCCCATAATATTCCAGCAAAAGCTGCTCACTGGTACTGTGATACGCTGTGATAAAAATAAGGCCACCTTAATTATGGCTTCAACCAAAATGTTATACACTGTAAAAGCAGATAGGTATATTAGTATCACAAAACCTATCACTCATTCTACATTTTGTTTCAATAAGCATCTGTTTTCACCACACTGGTCTGTTTCTTTTGGTCAGTTTCCTTCTCTTTTCCACCTTCCTCTCATAAGTGTTTGTGTATGTTATCACTGACATGAATACTTCAGATCGTAACCAGTGATACGTTCTGTCATTTACTGAGTCATTGAATTTTCCCCACTCATGTAAAGTGGAAGACTCTCAAGACGACACTCAATGTCTGGATAAACTGAGCTGTCTAATATCTACATACAGTAGTGCAACATGATAACCTGTTTATGATTGACTTTAGTTGATCAAAGCTTTTGAGTATAGTGGTAACTATTTAGTAGTGTTCCTATGTCCATCTTCCACCAAATGCACACAATACAATCCTACACTCAGTGAAATCTTGTGGTACTTTGGAAAGTGTCTTGGGTGCCACTGGTGATGCTGACAGAGCAGTGAGCATGTCACTAACCGGTGTCCAGCTTGGTTCGCTTGGCGCAGGCCACGATGGCTCCCATGCTGGGCTGTGAAGTCATCCCGGCCATCGAGTCAACCTAGAGGGAGACAATCAGTATGACTATTGTTTGAGTAAAAGCCTAAACCTGTGTTATGTGGGTTCATATCTTAGTGGATTGATTTTATATACATGGAGGGAAAGGTATGTTGTACTCTTTAGCAGGTCTGTTTGCATATTACTCCAAAATGAATACCTTATATATTATATAACGATTAATGGGAAGAAGACAAAAACAGCAACATCCCATCAAAAGGACCTGAATTTTTACCCCCAAAACTTTCCCTTACATGTTAAGTGTATTTGAGCACGATTCATCTTGTTTTTTACCAAGTATGTTATTACTTGGCAGAGAAAAGACAAAGTTAAACTATGCAAACTGATAGAAGTGAAACAAACAGATGGTTTTGGGGGTGTGGCTGGTCCACGATGGGCAGTCAGATGTTTGTCTCATAAAGTGTTACAATGAAGTGACAGCAGAAAAACCCATAACTGCAAACAGCAGCCAGCTGTTTTAATCAAACAGCCCATGCTGGCAGCATTTGTCAGTGAACGCAGTAAGGGAAATGGTCCTGGGCTTTAACAATTGTTCCATTGTTTCACTGACATTTCACAAAGCAAACTGCTGAGGCTGTTAGAAAATGAATGTTTGTTAGACACACACAGTGAAAGAGAAACAGGTCAAGACAGAGACTGGACCTTATCAAGACATCCGATGTCCAATGTCTCCCTTACCAGTGAGAGACATCTGTAGGACAAACACGACGAATACTCACAGCCACGTCGACGACGTCAGCTCCAGCTGCTGCAGAGGCCAGCATGGCGGCCACTCCGGCTCCAGCTGTGTCGTGTGTGTGCACATGGATGGGTACATCTGGGAAACGGTCTCTCAGAGCACTGACCAGAAGCTTGCTGGCCTCTGGCTTCAGCAGACCTGCCATATCCTGGTGAGACAGGAGGGTGAGCATGACACATGAGGGGGGACAAGATGCTACAAATATCCGCTGGTCATTCCTGTAGATGATACAAGAGTGTATCTTATTCTCGACCCTTGTTTTCAGTGGCTTTGTGGAACAGAAATTACATTTTGGATATGGAGCTCTGCACCAAGTTAAACAAGATTAATTTCAACCACCTGTCTTAGCCATCATTAGAGAATGTGCACACAACACTGGCCTGAGGCTGCCAATAAAAAGCTGGAACTTGAAAGTGATAAATTAAACATCCTAATACCGACAAAAGTGAAGTTCCACAGTCTTGTGAGGATGATTATAATGTACACATTTTTACTGATATTAACAGAAATGCCCACACAGAGTGTAGATGCTCATTTCTGCTCCCTTTGATGATCACTGCACACCATGAAATTATAATGCATGCTCATTTCCCTCCTTTAAAAGTTAACCTCATTAGCTGTGCACGCCTTTTATGAGTTTGCCATTGCTGCACATGACGCTTCACATTGCAGTACAGTGAGAGTTTATCATTTCATGTTGAAAAATATTCTGTCATGCTTGAATAAAGAAATGAATTCAATGTGAGCTTTATCACTCTATTAATTTAGATAAGCTGCTCAAGTACACAAGTTATTTCAACTAGAGCAAATAAAAAAAGCTATTTTCAGCAGTTTATGTGTGAATGTTTATATTAATCAAAATGCTATTCAAAAAAGGCATGCACTGTGTGTGTTGGGTGTGTTAGGGTCCACTAACATGCTGCCATTTCAACAGCAGCAGCAGTGCCAAACTTGACACGAGTAACAGAAATAGAGCAGGGTTTAAGAAGCGGACAAACGTACCCACAACAACTTGCTTACATGATTATATAGCGGTAATCTGATCAAGATTTCCATTAGTCAACTCATGTCTTACCTGTCAAAGGAGTTTCACCTTATTTTAAACTCAGTGAATGTAGGAAAATGGTAGTTAGTGCAGGCTCTTATTATAATGACACAAATGTTTGTGTGTACAAAAGTGTGTACACAAGATTGAGCTAACAAGAACTCACAAAGACTCTTTTCAGCTGGTTTTATGATATTTTGGTGACAGATGGGCAGTGATTTCCACACAGAAGCAAAGAGCAAGCGCCAGACACTTTAAATTATCGCAAGGAAGGAAAAGGGCAGCTTGTTAAATAACTAATAGCATGATTTTCCCCACTCAGCGACACACCCGCTGAGAAAACAACTCTGGTAATTGGAGTCTCCAATTACCAATAACTAAGAAAAGTAGCAGTAAACAGCTCTTAAAGCAAACAACACCAGATCTGATCTTTATCTCACTTTTATTATCTCACCTTGATACATAAGATGTGGGTTCCGGCTTTGACAAGCTCATCTGCCAGTTTCACATAGTAGTCCAGGGAGTACTTCTGCCTCATTGGGTCAGACACATCACCCGTATATGAGATGGCGGCCTCCACTACGCCACCTGCAGCCCCAGCAGCCTCCATGCCCAGCAGCATGTTGGGCACATAGTTCAGGGAATCGAACACACGGAAGATGTCCATGCCGTTTTCCTTGGCCACCTCGCAGAACCTGGAGAAGAGTGGAAAGAGAAGAAAAGCACAGTTGTGTACAAACATTAAGCCAGAGTAGAATCAGAGAAAGAAAGAAGTTAGGGAGGCTGTGAAGACCGACTGCACAGTGGAATCTGTCCCACTCTCAGTTTTAAGCACCCTTCACCTTTTGCACACTTGTGTTGTACATTATTTTTTGCTCATCAGTCCACACTCAAACTCAAAGACAGAAGTAAAATGCTTCTAGAAATGTGTGCAAATGCTTATTTTAATTATTCTTGAGGTGTGTCTGGAACTTGACTGGAGTCAACCTGTGGCAAACTGAACTTAGTGGACATAGTTAAGGCACACACCTGTGTACATAAGGACACCCTGTATGCCAGGCCAACAACTGAGCCATGATGTCCAAGGAACTTTAGATCTCTGTGATACATTTCTGTGGAGGTATCAATCAGGGCAAGGGTATAAAACAATTTCTAAAGCTTTGAGGGTTCCCAGGAGAACAGTGTCCTCAGTCACTGAAATGGGAGAAGTCTGGAATCATTAGGACTCTTCCTAGAACTGGATACACAGCCAAACCGAGTAACACGATGAGAAGGCCTTTAGTCAGGAAGGTGACCAAGAACCCAATGATCACTTGAGCAGAGCTCCACATGTCCTCTGCAGAGACATGCGAACCAGCAGGGAGGACAGCCATCTCAGAGGTTCTAGACTGGAGACACTTTAATAAAAGGCATATGGTGGCCTGCTTGGAGTTTAACAAGCAGCATTAAAGGACTCAGAGCATGAGGAAAATGATGAGACAAAATCAGAACTCTAAGCACTGTCTGATGAACACTGCTGATAGTCTGGATATCATCATCCCTACGATGAAGCATGGTGGTGGGCAGCATGATGCTATGGGAGTTTCTCAGCAGCATGGACAGGGAGACTGGTCGGAGTTGAGGGAAGATGAATGCAGCCAAAATACAAAGAGGTCCTTAAAGAAAACTGGCTCCAAAACTGGCAACAGTTCACTCTTCAGCACGACAGTGACCTGAGTAACCTGAAGCAAACAGCCAAAGCAACACTGGAGCGGCTTCAGGACCAGTCTGACTGTCCTTGAGTGGCTCAGCCAAAGCCCAGACTTAAGCCCACAGAACATCCGTGGAGAGACCTGAAGGTGGCAGTTCACAGATTCTTCATCTCTTTCCAATCTGACAGAGCTTGAGAGGATCTGCCAGGAAGAATGGAGTAAACTGCCCAAATCCAGGTGTGCACAGCTTGTAGAGACCAAGAAGACTGAAGCTGCAACTGCTGCCAATGAGGATTCTACAAAGTACTGAACTGCAAAGTATCCATCTCCAAATCACCACTCATAAATATCACTGTACCTCCATAAATACAATATTGTTGCTATTTCCATCACAAGTGAGCTTACACAGCCTGCAGGAGCCCACAGTAACTGGACACTCAGCTCATTATCCAAGCTGCTAGTGGTAAATCCCTCCTGTTATTGCCTTGGCCCTGGTATTGTAATCAGGTTCTTCATAATTGGGTAAGTGTTTACTGTAGCTGTATTAGTATGAATGCAGTATTTACACAGAGCTTTTGCTTTGGCAAATAAACAGATACACTTAATGTTGTGCCATGAGAGGATTAGCAGTCCACTGTCTGATAGCCCAGCATTTATTTAGCACTACAATGCACACAAGTGGTCTTGTGGATGTCAAAGCACTGTACTTGTCCTACATACTCTGTATCTGACTGAAATACACAAAGCTGACCTGATCATTATTCACACAAATGATAGTTTTTCAAATGAAATACTTTTCCTTCGTAAAGTGACAGGTAGATGTGCACGAATCAACCCTCCAGGTGTTTTAGATTTTTACAACTCTCTTGTTGTAGAGCGTACTGTGACCCTGTGAAAGGCACTTTAAATCAATTAAATAAAATGAAATTACACTTGATTTGATGCGGTTAATGAAGACACTTAGGCCACTTGGCCGCGAGCTGCCGCACCGAAAGTGCTAAGGGCAAGAGAGTGAATGAGTGAAGGGAAGTTGGAGGAAGCTGGGCAAACGGATAAAAAAAACATCAATCACAATCATTTGATGGCACTCCCTCCATGGAACAGAGAATGAGAAACAGGAGAGGGAGATGAAGAGCAGTCAGGAGAGGAGGAGGGTGTTAAAATAGGGGAAATAAGTAGATAATGCAGAGAGATGAAAGGAGATGTAAAAATAAAGGGAAGTATAAGGGAAGGGATAAATAATGACAAAATGATAGAGCGGGAGGAGATGGTCACCAAGAAAAACTGGGAGGATTGGTGAGGTGTGTGTGCGTGAGAAAGAGATTCAATGAGAAGCAGGAAGGAGGTGACAGCTGCATTACTCATAAAGCCACTTCTAATTTATTGGAGGTGTATGTGACGGTGTGTGTGTCCTTGTAGGTGTTTGTGTGTAGAACCGACTGCAGGTGTGCACGCTTGAGTACACGTGAGTGATTCACATCACTGAAGAAGCTTGTGGATCAATCTGGAAAAGTTTCTGAAGCACATGTACGCATGTGTGTAGGCACAGGAGTATTTATGGCTCTGAATACATCACCGGCATACATCTGTTTCAGTAATGTGCCCGTGAAATGTGTGGTGCTCAGTGAGTGTGGTAAGAGACAACGGGAATGCATCAACAAACCTGACCTGATTAAATGTGTGTGTCAGTGGTGTGGTTTGTGGGGAGCTACTGTACAATTTATCAGTTTGGATATATTTAGAAAGAAGGAAGCCATGTCTGAAGGCTTCATACTACACGGTGTTTTACAGAATGTAGGTACAATATTCTAATGTATTTGTTATAATCATGCTGAAAATAAACAATAATAAATAAATATAGGTGTCCAAAAAAAAGCCATCTCAAAGTATTGCAACGGGGAGCATAAAGTCGCAACTGAGAAGCCCCATCTGCTGAAGGAGATCACAAGTTGTGGGGTGTTTTAGAAAGAGCAAATTGAACCTTGTGCTCATTCATCTATAAAAAATGCTCTGAATGAAAAAAGGCAGCAGAGTGCCTAAAACCCGGAACTGAGTCAGCATTTCTGCACGTCCGGTTCCCTGGCCCAGAAGTCGATGGGTTGTTTTGAGTGGGTTTTTGGTTAGAAGCCTTAAATTAGGTCTGTGGTTAACACAGTTTTATCCTACGGCATAAAATATGTCAGTAAATACCCGACTCATGAATCTTAATGTGTTTATGTGCCTTAAAAAAGGAAGTTGCTAACAAGCGGCTAACACAGTGACTCATCGAATCACTAGCCTGCTTTTACAGCCTCATTATATTTAAACTCGCACACTTGCGTATTTATTCTAAATAAATGACCCAGCCATGATCACTGGCTAGATCAGATCCCGCTAAGAGGAAAGGATCTGAGGTAAGCCAGCTCAATTATTTTACAAGTTTGAAGCTGTGGTGGTGACGAAGTCATGTGACCTTGGTGTAGTTTGTTTATAGCCTAATAAAAGCTTTTTAACTTTGTCTTTAGTGTTCACTTGTGAAGGTGATGTTGCTGAAAACACATGTTAACTGTTTCTCAAAGAACTTATTCTCCACTATAATACAAAAGATTAAAAAATACAAATTAAACAATACAAATATTGTTGATAAACAAAATATATCATTAAAAAAGCATCAACTTCATAAGACTATCTTTGGTTTCAGGTTACTTTTGATTCCAAGTAAGTTTAGTCTTGAAAATCTTCTATTGTTGCTGCATTGTTTACATTGTTTGTATTACTTTTGTTTATTCAAGGACTTAAAGAAACTGTCATCACGTTAAATGCCTGATTCTGTTCAAAACACAGACAATAACTGATGGTCACCCGTGTTCTTCTCATAGAAATGACATCTCTAAAAAATATGACAATGACAGACTGAGGAGGCAGCAGCTGATTTCAAGAAAATTGTATTTGGAGAAAAATGAATGTATTCGGCACAGTGCAATAGCTACAGTCAACAGGACAAAGTTCTTCCAGTGTTTTCAAGCGGATGCCTGAACTCTACACACTAATAGTCTGTGGTGTTCAAGGCATACATTAAAAGTGTAGAATAAAAATAAAATTAAGCTTGTGTGTATGCGTTCATATTTACAACCTGTGTCAGCTGATTAAAGTCCAAAAAAACTACAGAAGATAGTAAATGAAAACCAAAAGAATGTGTGCATGTTCGCAGTAAGTGTTAACTTATGACCAAAGTAAATGGAAGGAGGAGTTTGTGTGAAAGACTGACTTACTTAAAAACAGCATTGTCAGGGTAGTTGGTGTATCCCACAGCGTTGGCCCCTCTCAGCAGCATCTGGAAAGGGATGTTTGGGATCAAAGCTCTCAGCTCCTGAAGTCTCTTCCATGGGCACTCCGACAGGAAGCGCATGGCCACGTCAAAAGTAGCACCTACACACACACACAGATTCAGATGGCACCTCAAATCTCATCCATCATCCCAACACTGCTCTCAGTTCTATAGTTAAAAACTATTTCAAACTTATCACGACACATACAGATGGCACACAACACACACCGAAGCTCAAACTAAATATCTGATGATTGCACACTCATTGTTCATTCTAACACTTTTATCATTTCATCTTAGTCGCTTTAAAATTTGAGAAATGTTTCAGTTGAAGAGGTGGGGAAAAATAGGGATAGCAATCTCTCATTTCCCTTTCTGGGGGAGGAGATTAGTGAATCTCATACCCATTTATCATATCAGCCAGAAATATTGAAACCTCCAGTGTTTTCTGCTGACCCAACACTGTCATAATTAATTTCATTTTCTGACACGGAGAGAAAAGTAACACACATGCTTGTTCCTTACTCTGGAAGAAGAAGCTGGGATGAACTGGAAAACAATCCCCTTTATCAGTCTCCCATCACCCTCTTTGTCTTCCTTCCCTTGGATTCTATTTTTACCTATGTCAGCATCTCTTAAACTACTGGTTTAGAGTGGAAATAACGGCATGCAATCATATCTGACGTTCACCGCATTAATATTGATGTTTCATTTCAAAACATGAAACTGAGTGAGGAATTCATCTGGGACAGCAGAATTAATTTCATAATTTGATAATGTGAATAAAGACAGACAGCTGGTCCCACACGCAGGACGTTCGGCGCAGGTACCGTCTGGGCAGCCTCTCTCTGGAAAGAAAGGCAGCGCCCCTCTGTCATAAAGATGAGCTCAGATAAATCAGATGTAAGGATGGGAACAAGTCTTTGACTCAGTTCCTATGACAACCAGCAATGTATTGAATGCAAACACCCCATGTAACGTTTAAAGTCAAAGCTTTCCTTTAAAAAATCTAAAATAAAAAAATCTTTTACTGTATGTGGGAATAAACTGTCAAACAGTTTTTGTGGTAATATATTGGCCTGTAACATCTTCTGTTGGGTAAGATTACATTTTACACAAAACTCAATAATAAAACGGTTTAGATAGTGTAGTGTCATACTGGCAAACTCTTCACTCCAAATTACCCCTGGTGGGAAAATAAAGTTCTATAAAATAAACTTCTATCTCCTGCCCTTGAGCCAATAAAGGAAAGTCAATGATGAATAAAAATGATGAATCTCTATAACTTGAATTGTTGTACAGTAGATACAGTTGCTGTGCATAAACACACACACCCCTCAGCTTTCTATGTAAAGTGTACAATTATAATGCTCATGCAGCTATTTGGTCAGATTCATGTTTATGTCACCTGTTATTCCAGATTATTGTTATGGATTGGTTAACCTGCCTTTCATGCTTGTACTTCCTGTACCAAGAAACCCCTCATATTCCTTAATGGATGCCTGGGTGTAAGAAACTGTACAAATTGTAGCTCCTCCATGGTTGACTGTTTGAAATGACTACTAACAACCGGGAAAACATTTCTTATAACCTTTGCTAGGTGGCAGGTGGGGATAATTTACAGACCAGACTTTGGAAACACAGGGAATGTATGTTCCATGGCGTTGGGAAGAATGCTATTATCAGGAAGGGACGCAATCGTCACAGGGCTTCACAGGCTCTTCAGTGATTCATTCTGCCTGTGAGCAGCTGGAACATGTGGAATCATTATTCTCTATCCAAGACCGCTCTGTGTAAAGACAGATTCTTGCATGGGGACAATATGTCAGGGTAACGGTGTTCAGTACTCACATGGTCATCACCGTTTAGTGATTCATTTTGGTTCTAAGTGATTTGAGCACAGCCAAGTGTAATATTCTCCATATCTAATCACTGTGTAATAAAACGCCATTGTACAGGGACCTCCTATCAGGAGAGGCATGATAGTTGTTCCTCCTGGGGTCATGTAATCATTTATGAGAAAGGTATTGTTACCAGTTGACAGTGTGTGCCAGAGTTCATCCTCTTACCATAGCATGGTAGTCATGTTTGTGTTTAACATAAATCAATATGAGGCAAGACATGGCTGGCAACTGGTAAATCTGGGAACTCTGGGTATTGAGAGCTAAGCAAATGTAGGCTATTTAACAGTGGGGATAGAAAACAAACTGATATTTATACACTGTCCTCAGAAGCACCGTAAATGTTACACCATTCTTTTGGTAAAGAGGCACTCTGACTGTTTTCTACATGGAACAACACTCATCCTGTGAAAAAAGTGGTATAATATCTTGTGTGGGTCTGTGACAGCGTTGTAGTACTTGAGTCCAGGACTTGGACACAAGTACTGAAACTCAGGACTTGTGACATGATCTGGAATTGAACATTGATGACTCGGACTCAGGCTTGAGCCTTGACTGCCTTCACACTCGGAAGCTGGAGACAAGGACTTGGAATTCTTTAGTTTATTTAAACAGGCCGTTATAATTTGGCATCAACATGGCACGTTTAGTAAGCAAGCTTTATTTAAAACAAGGATAAAGATGAAAATCTATTTTAAAAATTACAAGTACCATCTGGGGCTTGAAACTGGGTCTAACTGTTAACAATAAGTGAAAATAAACTATTTTTGTCTAAGAAAAAATGCACAGTGAATTAAGCATCATGGCAATTAACTGTTCTGTTTTCTAAATATTGTGTTGTCCCTACCCAACTACTAAGATTAATACCAATATATTAACATGCACAGAAAGACACTCATGCAAAGATATTATCTACTGCAAACTAGTTAAGTTGCAGGAAGGTGTCAGGGGGATATCTCTAAAATTTTATTCTGCCTTTAAGTGTTTAAATAATTATGAGGAAGCACTATTCTGTTTTCTGTGACTCATAATCACATCATGCAGGACCTATTGATGCCTCAAGAGGATCCACTAGCATACTGCATTTCTGTTCAGCAATTCACACGCTCTCCACCATTTTTCTTAACTGAATAAAACAAATGAATCTCAGCCCATAATATCAGGCTATTACAGAATCATTATGTCAGGAGGTTGGTTTACATCTATGATGTACTCTTGCTGCCGTATAAATGGGAGCGAGGCAAGCACATTAACTTTCTCTAACTTCTTTATGAAGACAGAAGACAGTTTAAACTTCAAGTGCTTTCACTGACATGACTCCCACTGCAGTTCAAACATTAGCACTTTATGAGAGAGTTTACAAGGAAGACACAAAGTGAGATGTATTCACTCTCGCTGTTTATCATGACTGGATTCAGTTCAGACAACAGATAATTCCACAGTGTTTACCTTTTACTACAAAAAATGCCTAAATTATGAATATTTCCCAAACTGTCTGCTCAGTTGAACATTATTCCAAAGATGTGTCAGAGTCCCTGAAAAGGAAGTGACAGCATTATTGGATCCTACTATACATTTTTTAAAAGAATATGTTCAGAGTTTCAACTTGAACCTTATTGAATGCATATGTTATATTACTGCTACTTAAACATAATTCAATCCCATCAATTTCAGTTTAGAAAATTTTACCCCACTGCTGCTGCTTCTCTCTGGCTTTTAAACTGTTCAGCGAGGCCAACGGTTCAGGCTTTCAAAATCCATGGCAAGTCTCAGTTTAGAAAACAGGAAGTTCCGAGTATATTAACATCTTTAAAGTTCACCCATAAAGTGGTCTAAAAAGACTTTGACTGTTTTGCAGCTTCCTATTCATCTCACACAGATGAAGAAATAGCAAACTTCATCAAAAGCTCAGTTTGTGTGCCTGACTGCGCTGCGAGCTTCCTCTTTCTTAAAAGAAGATTCATCAGTTTCACAGCCTCAACGATCGCTACACTGGACTGTGTGAGATGCCGCAGTAGTAGAGTCTTATCAAGCACAGCGGTCAGTGAGGTTGTATTATAAATGATGGCAAACATTTTAATAGGGTTAAGGTTTAAAAAAACTATAACTATAACTATCTTTTTAAGGTTTCGTATATTAGATAGTGAAAAGTTAACGAGCCATTTGTGTGCTTTAATCAAATCACTTGCCCCTTCCAGAGCTGGTTAATACAGGATGATTCATACAGGCACTCAACTCGTTCCTTCCTGCCCCTGTGCTCATAATGCCCTTGTCTGTCCTTCTGTGCGTTTCCTTTCTCTTGTATGTTAATCCTGTGCTTGTGTGTTTGTGTCCTTTCTCCAGGGCTTCATAGAGCAGATGTGGTTGGGTGGCTCAGGCTTGATTTGTTGGCAGTACCTGGATGTTGCTTGGATTACAGCATGCTCTTCATAAAAGTTTACAATTTAAAGTTACAGTATGTAAGAATTTTCAGTTAGTTTTTTGTTGTTGTTGTTGAAACATCCCCCAAAATGTATCTTACTAGGAAGAGTTGCTGTTAAAGGTTGCTGACCCAGACTCAAACAGCCTAACAGCAGTACAGAACTATTCCCTTCTAAAGGTTGTTGACAAGGATAACACACTCTAACAAATAAGAGAAGGCCACTGTCAAACGTCAGGGGTGGGAGCTCAATGCTGTTGATCAATATTTGAACGCGCCTCGGCTCTTCTGACATGGTCACAGGCTAGCAAGCTACTGATTTCAACGTTAGCTGAGACAGCTACATAATGAAGGTCAATAAACGAAAGCTTTGATGAGAAGGATGATAAACAATTGGATTTAGATCATAGTTATATTGGAGCAGCTTTCAGCAGGTGGAGGGCGTTGACAGAGAAGAGGGATTTACAAACGGACACTGATTTGGTCATTTCTCTGCTTGACTAGTAGGTTGTGAATTTATTATATAAAGTAGTATGATAATAATTCAAACCATTACCTTTTTGCTTGTAGCTAGAAAATGTCATTTGCACTTCCAGTGAGACTAACAGTGGCTAGCTACGGATGTAACTGTGCTGCTACTTTCAGTGATAATCAGCCCGTTACATCTGAGCAAGTTCACACACAAGCCATTGATCGGTCTGCTGCAGCCACTGAATCAATTTGTGACCGTGCATTACGCTATTTTGATGCCCAGCAGTTGATTGTGTTGTACTCTCCGCTA